ACTAAAATAAAAATGGAGAAAACAATTACAAATAGAGGTAACATTTCCGAAAGTGGGAGTTTTCTAGAGATGCTAATCAGAAGAACAAGGGGAAAAAGTCGAAGAAGAAGAAAAGAAAAAAATGGATAGACGAAAGTGCCATGAATCGAAGGAACATATAGAAAAAATTATAGAATTCATTTCGAATACTAGAAAAAAAAAATGACAAACAGAAGAAAAATGAAGTGAAGCGAAGATATTATCAATTAGGAGTAGATAAATAAAACAGGTACTACACATCAGAAATGACATGCATTACTCTGATTGGCAACAATTTGTAACAATTGACGGGCGGAACCCCGCTTGAAGGTTCTGCTGCCTTGCCCGCGTTGTTTATGACCAGAACTTTGAAATGTTACACCTTAATTGCTTGCCTCGCTACATGCTCGAAGAATTATCAAGGCTTTCTTGCTTCCGTACGTGGTCGCACTAAGGAGACTCCTTTTGCCATTTAAAGAATCGGACTCTTCAAGTCACGTTTTTGCACATTTGTTTTAAAACCTTTCTTTCTAATTACATATAATTTTCCACTCATCCCGAATAACAACAACAACAACAAAAAAAAATGGCGTTAACGATATATACCATCACATTTTATTATTGTGCTAACCATATTCTTTTGTAATCAACAAAAATTACCCCATCTCTCATCACTTTTATACATTCAAATTACCGCGCTGAAATTTATTTTCAATTTTACTAACGTGTATAATTTTTTTACTATACATATAAATTTTATGTATATGAGTATATATTATATACCTACTATAAATAAATTATATAGTATAAATAAATTTTATATATACTACTCCCTATTATATAAAAACATTTCGCCGCCGTTGCAGAGTCAGGATTTTTTAAGCCCCCCATCCCTTCCAAGGGGATGTTACATTACGCTCCCCCTTTAGGACCGTTACGTTACGTCTAAAATCAAGGCAAATTTTACCTACTTTTTGACCTAGAGGTTAAAAGGTGGCCCCATAAAGGCCCCCATGGGGGACGCTACATTACGTCTACCATAATTTAAAACCTTAAGGGTATCTATGCCTATATTTTAAAAATAAAATTAGTTACTGTGGCGAACTTCAATTACTTGTCTATAAAAATTTAAATATCTACAAGAAATGTAACTGAATTCTACTTAAAAAAAGGAATTCTTCAAAATTGTAAATAATATTTTTCAATATTTCAATTTTTAAGCAAAATTTTTCATTAAAATCTTTTTCATAATTAATTAATAAAAATCGTTATTGAAACTCTTTCGAATTTAAGTTTTAATACTGCTTTTCAAACTTTGGTAAACTTATGAATGCATTCAATTCTGACTCTTTGTGATACTCGATTATTTAGCAATTATATTTGGTAAAGAATTAAATATTAATTAATTACTTAATTCAATATTAGCAGGACTCGAACCAGTGAAAGTATTTAAAAATACGGACTTTACGGACCAAAAATGAAAACTTACGGATCATTTACGGACCAACTGACAAAAATATAAGGAGTCCGAATAAAATAAGAGAAAATTTTCCTTAAAACTATAAATTAAATTTTTCATAACTATAAAACATGTTTATAATAATTAAAAATGACGGAGTGATAAAATCATTATCTATTGAATTATTCTTTTCAAGAACTTTTAGTTAAAATTCTTCTTAAAATCGATTATTTTTAATAATTTTTGAAAAAGTTCTTTGACAATTTTCAAATCCATTTGTTTACAATATTCAATTTTACGAAATTTCAATTATTCGTAAATTCTTCAATTAAATATATAATAGAAAATAAAAACTTCCAAAAATTTTATGAAAAAAAAATTGGCAATTAAACTTTCTCAAAAAAAATTAATTGCACAAAATTATTAGTTGAAAATATGAAAAATTCAAATTTTCAAACATTTTAATCTGAAACCTTTTCAAAATTCAATTATTTCTAAAAAATTCCCTCTAATGCTTTTAATATTCAATTATAATCTAAAATTTTAACTGAAATCCATTTTTAAATCAATGTTTATGAGAAAACTCTACTAGAATTCAATTATTTAAATACAAAAAAACAATTCATTGAATAATTGCATGGTTTCTCAAAATTCAATTCTCATGAAGAATTTTATTAATAAAGTTTTAAATAATTAAATTCTTTTGACAAATTTAAATAAAATTGAAATTGAAATTCTACAATGAGTTTTATTATTTATCAAAATAATTAAATTCCTAATAAGAATTTTACTATTTACCAAAATAATTGAATCCCTGTAAAAATTTTATTATTTATGAAAATAATTGATTGATTGCGAAGAAATTTATAAAAAAAAATTGTAAATAATGAAATTCCTGTGAAATTTGTATTATTTTTTGAAAATAATTAAAAAATAATTAATTAAAATTTTATAAAATTTTTTTATAAACAATTGAATTCTTTTGGAAAATTTTATTAGAATAGTAGATACCTATATTAAAAATCATAGAATTGAGGAAAATTTTTGAAATTTTGCCAAGAATTTTATTAAAATTTTTGGAAACAATTGAATTTTGGAGAAAAATTGCATTATTTCTAAGAATAATTGAAATTTTGACGATAATTTTTAAAAATTTTTTAACATAATTTAATTTTTCGGGAAAATTTTATTACTTCTGGAAATAATTGAATTCCTACAATTATTTGAAATTTCTCTAAAATTATCCAAATTATATCGTACAATGTGGACCTTTTTTAAAAAAACGGACTTCAAACAAAGTTACGGACTTTTATGAGAATCACGGACCTAGTTCGAACCCTGTATTAGTGAATGAATTGAAAATTATATAAATATATGATTATTTACCAATTATAATTGATAGAATTGTAATATTCAATTATTTACCAACTGTAATTGATAAAATTGTAATATTCAATTATTTAACAATTATAATTGATAAATAATTGAATATTATACAAATATTCAACTATTTACCAAACATAATTTGTAAATAATTGAATATTACTAAATTATTTGAATATTCTAGAAGTATTTAATTATTTACCAATTGTAATTGGTAAAATGGTATTTTTCAATAGTTTACCAATTGTGGTAAAATAATTGTATATAAATGCCAAAAGTCAGAATCGAATGAATTCATAAGTTTATTATAGCAAAAAAAGTCAGTATTAAAACTTAATTTGAAAAGAATTACAGTAAAAATATTTATTAACTATACTGAATTTTAAAAAAATATAATTAAATATTTTGTTTAAAAATTGTAATTTTGAAAAATTTTATTTAAAAATCTCTAATGAAATTCTATAAAAAGAATTCAATTATTTTCAAAACGACTTTACATAAAATTTCAATTAATTTAAAAGTTCGTTCATACAATTTTTTCTTTAAAATTCAAGTATCTTTATAAAAATTGAATTCAAATTTCTCAGAAATCTAATTTTTACAGAATTTTGAATAAAAGTATTTAAAACGTAAATAATTTTTCAAAAAAATATTTAATTATTAATTTTTGCAAACGAAAGAGCAAAATTTGTTTATTTCTTCTTCAAATTTAATTTTTCTTACAAGAATTTTCTGTCACTATAAAGAAAACTGATTGTAAAGTTTCTAAATGTAAAATTTAAATTTATAAAATTTATGACAATCAGTAAATTATAAAAATAATTTTAAAAAGTATTTTGATCAATTGATTTCAAATTATTTTTGAAAATTGAAACTATTTTTAACTAAAATTTCTAATGCAATTCCATAACAAAAATTGATTTCTAATTCTTTTGAAAATTCAAACTATTTTTAACTAAAATCATTTTTAAGTAAAGTTCCTGAAATTGGCATCAACGCTCAAAATCGAAAACTACTTTTTGTTATTTTTAGTGATAAAAATGACACTACTATTTTTATTACTATGTTTTTCAAAAATGTATAATTCAAACGAAAAGTTTCAGTATTCTAGAATTAATTAAAGTAGTAAAATTAGAAAAGAAAATTATCGTGGACGCTATTTTTCAGGGACCTTCTAAGTTATAATTAAAATGAATTATATAAATTATATAATTACATCAAGAGAAAAATTTTATTTAGATTAAATAGAATTTATTTGATTTAAATAAAAGTATATTTGTCTCAGAGTCTATTATTTATTTGGTTAAAATAAAATTTTTATTCAATATAAATGAAACTTATTTGAAACAAATAAAATTTAATTTAAACCAAATAAAATTTATTTGAAAACAAATAAAAAATCTAGTTGGCTCCGAGTCAAATATATCTTTCTCCTAAAGATAAAGTTAGTAAGAAAATTATTATAGAATTAAATTATTTAAAATAAATTTAATTATTCACAGAAATAAGAAATTAAGTGATGAGAAATTTTATGGAAATTCAAGTTTTCTGAGTTTTTGAAAAATATTTTTCAACATCAAAGACAAAAAAATTTTTGTAGTTCCAGAAGTTATAGTAGTAATTCTAGAAGTTTTTTTATTTTTCCAGTAATAGTTTTGAAAAAATTCCCTGTCACTTCCCTGATTCTCTGGACTTAATTTCATCTTTCTTGATTTCTCCCTCATTTCGTTGACCAGTAGCAACCCTTTTTTATTTTTATATATATAAATTTTATAATAAACATATTTTTTTTTGGTCTAAGAAGAATACATGTAATAAAATCCTACAAAACCATTCTTTCGAAATAATGAGACAATTATTTTAATGAAAATCTCATTCCGGATATAAAATCATATAGTGAATGAAAGGAGAAATTTTTATATTTCTTTAATTCGAGTGACGTGGATAAATTGATTTTCATCGCCCACTGACACAGTAACATTGAAAAGAAATGTCGCGTCTGTTATTGTTGTACGACAAAGCCACAAACAACTTTCGCAGAATATCAAATGACAAAATGTAGAGCATCCTGAATTCTAATTAGTTTCCTCCTTGATGCATTATCATAGAATCTTAATGCAACTGCAAAATAATCCAAAAGACGAAAGTGGAATTTTAAAAAAAAAAACTTTTAAGAAACGAAAGATATAAAAGAAGAGTCCAAAGAATTTTTCAACAGTCTTTCGTTTCAAATCTCTTCGTCTACATCTTTCCTTTTCTTAAAAGAATTTTTCCAAAACGCTAAGAAATTTACAAAAAAATAAAAAAATGTCCACAAAAATATTTGTTATTTTTCTCTTTCTTTCGATAACCAGTGCTTGTTTAATAACCAATTGTCCACGTGGTGGTAAAAGAAATTACGAAGATTCTTCCATTGAAAGTGAAAATGTAAGTTTTATAATAATTTATACCGAATTCGGAATTTTTATTTTTCAATTCACAGTATTTTTTGAGGATCTCAAATTAAGACCAAAAACTGTATCAAATTGTCGCAATGCATCGCTTCGATGATGTCTCATTAAAAGTTTTGCTTCTTTTTTATTTAAAAAATATTTTTTATCCTTTTATTTTAAAAAAGTTTTATAAAAAATACATTAAAAAACTGTGTTTCAAAAAAAAATTGCTCTAATAAAAAATAAACAAATAAACTTCTTTTTCCAACAGAATTCACAACAACTGGAGAAAAATTCAGATCAACAGACAATAAATTCCTGGGACAGAATATTACGGCAAAATTTAAAAAATCGAAATCCAACCAAAAATTCCAAAGAACTTGGACTCCTTTTATTACTCAATGTCTGCAGAATGCTACCGCAAAGGGAAGATTATAAAATTTGTTCCTCCCAATTATTAAAGTAGCAATATGTATTAAATAAAGGAAAACAAAAAAAACATACAACAAAATTAGTATGGAAAAATTGTCATTGTAGAAAACCAAATAAATAAAAGAAATAAATAAAATTACTTCTTTATTCCTTCCAAAAGTCAACTTTTACCACACAAATTATTTTTGTTTTTTTCCAGACAGAATTTTGACTCTTTTCTTAAAGAATATTCTGATTTACTCTCAAAATACTTCATAATTCATAATTTATTTATTTTGTAGAAAATATCTCTATTTGTGAATATCTTCAATAATTGTAAAATTATTCGAACAATCAAATAATTTTTTTAAATAAATATTTCTTCATTATTATTATTACAGGCCTCGGATCCACTTTAAGGAGCAAAGAAAAGTCGAAAATTTCTATTTTCTAACAATTACAACTTCCAAAATTAAATTATTTTCTGAAAGTTTTAACTAAATTTCATCTCTAAATCAATTATTTTTAATAATTTTTTGAAAGTTCTTCAAGAATTTAATTATTTAAATACAAAAAATCAATTTTTTACAATAATTGTAACTGTCCATGTTTTCTTTTAAAAGTTTAATTTTATTTTCATTTTTAAATTTACACTTGAAAATTTTCCAATAAAATTTTTGAGAATTCTATTATTCTCACAAAATTTGTAATAAAAATTCATCAAAATATTAATTTTCAAAAATTGTAATAAAATAATTTCAAAAAAATTAATTATTTTCACAAAATTTGCAATAAGAATTCTTCAAAATTTAATTTTCAAAAAATGTAATAAAATAATTTCAAAAAATTCATTATTTTCACAAAATTTAAAATAAAAATTCTAACAAATGTTAATTTTCAACAATTGTAATAAAATAATTTTAAAAAAAAAATTATTTTCACAAAATTTGTAATTAAAATTCTTTAAAAGTTAATTTTCAAAAATTGTAATAAAATACTTTGAAAAAAATTTATTATTTTTAATTTTTTAAAGATATTTCTATAGATATTTTTTACGCTATAAAAATCGAAGGAAATAAATTGCATTTTATAGTACAATAAATATGATATTTTGTTGGGATATTTTAAAGAAAATTCGAAAAAGTCGCAAATTTTGAAACAAAGTAAAAAAATCGAAAAAAGTAATAATATCCGAGGCGTATTATTATTTTTCTACAAAGGAATTAAAATTTTCCAAAAATTTAAAAATTAAACCTAATAATAAATTTAAATCAGTTAAAAATCATAGTTTCAACTGACAATCAGGGAATGACTTTTTAATTCTGAATCAGTTAAAAATAATTTATTGTCAGTGAAAAAATGACTGATTTTCAGTATAAAAAAATAATTCAAATTTAGTTAGACTTGACTAACAGAATCAGTTAAAAAAAGACCTACTGAAACATCAGTTATTCTTAACTGACAATCATTTATTTTTAAGTAAAATGATCAGTAGAAATATTACTATATTTAAATTAGTCACTGAATTTTAGTTTCTAAATCAGTTATTTTTAACTGATTAAAATTTAAAAAGTTTTAATCCAAAAATGTATAAAGACTGCAAGTGCAAACACAACTCTTCCTTTAATTATGTTTTGAATTTTTATTTTCCCAAAGTTTCGAATGTTCAAATGAACAAAATTGTTTTAGAAAATTTTACTAAAGGGAATAGAAAAGGAAAAATGAGAAAAAAAAGAATGAGATAAAAAGGGGTCTATCTGTGCTTTTTGTACGATTCATTTTTAACAGTGCGAATTATTACAAACCTAATTTTCTTGACGCGGTATTAAATTGACACCAAAGTGAATCAAATAAATTAATACCAAAAATCCAATTCAAATTATGATTCAATCCACATTTTTTGGTACCAATCCATTGCACTTTGATACAATCAAAATTTAACAGCTATATGCATTATAGCAAAATGCTCAAAATGAAATCGCATATACTTATAATCATTATAAGCTTTTGTTTTCAAAAGAAGAATAAAATTATCATATATGAGAATGGAATTCAACTGCATTCTCTACAGTTGCATTAATCCCTATTAGGAATGCTCTAATCTAAATATGGTTATGCATGCGCATTTAGAATTGTGTATTGGATGTGAAAATGCAAACTTGGACGCAAAGTTATCCATGCGCATATATGCGAACTTCTGAAGCCAAAGGGGCTTTAAAAAGAGTTGAACCGGTATGTGAACGTTCTTGTATAATAATCACTCGAGTCGCCAGGAAACGAGGAAAAAAAAAATATATCCACAATATTCCAAAGGGGATACATGGCGAATGAGAGAGACAGAGACTCACTCAAGGGGGCTGAGCATTTGCGCAGTTTATGAGCGAGTAATATAACCGATGGACCTTTACTCTATATTAAGCATCCATCTTCCTTGGGAAACTATTACGACATCGTTAAATCGATTCTGTGATAAAATTCGCGATTTAAAAATCACTTTTTCCCAAAGTTCCTCTATTTTCAACTTTTAAAGGAGAAAATTCTTTCAACTATATGAAATTAAGATCTATATAGATACAGTACCGTCCGAAATTGTCAGTCCACCCATTTTCAAAGGAATGACAAAAATTTTTTAACATAAAATTCATGAAAAGTAAATTTTTTTTGGTTTATATTTTGAAAGACGATAAAATTTTGAAAAGAATAAGACCTTACAGAAGTCATTTGGCCAAAATTTGTAGGAGATATTCTTAAAAATCGTCATTTTCAATGTTTTACAAAGATTTGAATAACTTCTAAAATAATGAACGCTTTTTAATAATCTTAGGCTTATTTTAAAGACCATTTTCTACAGAATTAGAATTACTTATAGGCATTAACATGTAATTTTTAACTTGGAATAAGCATGACGTCAAAGTTGGACAAAAAAATTCAAAAAATTTGAAATAATATTATTAAAAGAAAAATAATTTTTGAAATTCAAACATATATTTTTATTAAATTTTCTTGAAAAATCTACACCATATCATATTTTATATATGTTCTAGAATAGTTTTTAGTACAAAAAATTGATTTCAAATTTTTACAATTTTTTTGTCTAATTTTGACGTCATGCTTATTCCAAGTTAAAAATGACAGGTTAATGCCTATAAGTAATTCTTATTCCGTAGAAAAAGACCTTTAAAATAAGCCTAAGATTATTAAAAAGCGTTCATTATTTTAGAAGTTATTTAAATTTTTGTAAAACATTGGAAATGACGATTTTTAGGAATATCTTCTACAAATTTTGGCCAAATGACTTCTGTAAGGTCTTATTCTTTTCAAAATTTTATCGTCTTTCAAAATATAAACCAAAAAAAATTTTAGTTTTCATGAATTTTATGTTAAAAAATTTTTGTCATTCCTTTAAAAATGGGTGGACTGACAATTGCGGACGGTACTGTATACATAGAGTTGTGAACATACATTTTAATCAATTGAATATTTTTTTAAATAAAAGAAAAGTGTTTAAGTTTGTTCACGAAATGAATGAAGAAAGTAGAGTGGAGTGAAAGAGCCACTGTTCACTTTTTATGCTATAAAATCGGAATAATTTTTTTTTAATTTCCAACTGGTACTAAAATAGTTATTAAGCTTCAAAATCCTAATCGAAAATTTTCTGTATTACATGAAAGGACTAAGTTATAAGAGTTTTACGAAAGCATTGCAAGTGACTATTTTGCCCCACCTGATAGAGGAAAAAGCCACTTTGCGATTTAGGCAAAATATGTTAAAATTTTTTTGTATCTTCACGTTTTTCCTTTATTTACATATCAAATAATCTTATTGTCAAAAATCTAAAAAAAAGTATCCAAATATAGTAGCAAATCGTAAAAAAGTAGTAAACAGTATAGCATGGTTGCCACAAAAATTTAATTTTGTTTTCCCCTGACTTTTCCCTGATTTCCAGACAAAATTCTGACTTTTTCCCTGACACTAAAGAATATTCTGATTCACTCTAAAAATTATTTGATACCTACCCAAAAGAATGTTCTATTAAATAAATATTTAATCATTATTATTTTTCCACAGGAATTAAGATTTTAAAAAAATTCAAATTAAAACCTTTTGAAATTCAATAACTTATAATAATTAAAACTTCCATAAAAGTTTTTCAAAAAAAAATTAAATTATTTACAAAAATTTTAATAAAATCCTAGGCAAGAATTCAATTATTTTTATAAATAATACAATTTTTCACATCCATTCAATTATTTAAAAAAAATGTAATAAATTTCATTGTAAAAATTCAATTATTATCATAAATAATAAAATTTTTCCTAGAATTTAAATTATTTTAAACACAATCAATTCAATCTGTACATATTATTTTAAATAAAATTTCAAATAAATTTCTCGAAAAATATAATTTTTTTTCAAACATTTTTGGCAAAAATTCAATTACATTTAACAAATAATAAAATTCTTCGCTGAAATTAAAATATTTTTAAAGTCACTATTATTTTAATAAAAATTCTCAAAAGAATTCAATTATTAAAAAAAAAAATTAAATAAAATTCGTTGCAAGAATTCAATTATTTTCATAAATAATAATATTCTTCACAGGATTTCAATTGTTTAAAAAAAGTGCAATAACAATTCGTAGCAAGACTTCAATTATTTTCCTAAATATTAAAATTCTTCACGGAATTTTAATAATTTTTAATACAATTTTTCGTAAATTCTTCGAAAAATGTAATTATTTTCAAAAATTTTATTAAAATTCTTCGAAAGAAATAAATGAGCAATTGATTATTTTTAATTATTTTTGCAAAAGTTCCTAAAGAATTGCAATTATTAGTAACTTCTCGAAAATTTAATTATTATCAAAAACTTTAACTGCGAAATTAATTTTTAAATCAGTTTTTATTAGAAAATTCTACGAGAATTAAATTATTTAATTACAAACATAGATAATAATTAATTGAATAATTGAATGTTTCTTAAAAAAAAGAATTCTTATACATAATTTTATCAACAAATTTTTAAACAATTGAATTCTTTTGACAAATTTTAATAAAATTTTAAAGAATAATTACATTTTTCGAGGAATTCTATTAAAATATTGTATTAAAAATAATTGAAATTC